ACAACGACTTTTGAAGTCGCTATACAATTTACTTACACGAGTTCTTGGAAAGTTTTGTTTCAGTTGTAATGACCTGTTACTTGATTAATATAGATAATTTTTTAAATTATCATTAGTTACTCTATACATGTAGATAACTTTAAAATTGAACTAGTTCTAATTGTAAAGGAGACCGTTACAGATGCTCCTTCAAATGTTCCCACTACTCCCTATTGAGCCTCATTTCATAGAAGCTACAAATTCAGCAACATCTTTTTATTATAGACCTCAACAACTCATTTCCAAAGTATTTAGGAAAAGTACAATGCATACAGAGCATAGTGAGCATAAGCAAATTCATTTATGTATACATGCACGCACATGATTTCGAAAATTACCATATTCATTCACATCTCCTAGTATGATGTAATAAAAATGTTAACATTTCAACAGATTTCTTTGAAAAAAAAAACAGTTATAGCAAACTGAATATTCTTGTTTGACTGCAGGTATAATGGGTACATACATTATGCAACTATAAAATTTGAAAGCAAGGACATGTATGCAAGTGTGCTGAAATCTGATTGGCTAAAAGTTTATACACTGTATCACTCCTACATTTCTCTTACTTTTCAATAAAATACTGTGAATTTTAGACATTGGTATATATTATAAGTAAGTACAATTAAGATATCCAGAAAACATGCGGAAACACGTGAGCTGACATCTGATTGTGTAAGATTGTAAGTATATTTATAAATTTCTTAGTTTTAATTAAAAGAAGACAAAATTCAAAGTTGTGTAAATAAAAATAGTGCCTACACTACGGAATCATACGAAAGTAATATGAAGGCAAGCATTCACGAGTCCTGAATTCTTGATTGGTTAATGTTCAGATTGCTGTAACTTCCCACGTTTTCAGTTTAATTTTTTTGCAATCTGAAATGTAGCTCATTATTGTGGCAGTTGATCCTTACGTCGCGGGTTCGAATCCCACTATGTGACGTGGAGACGGGTAGACCGTATAAACCGAGGTCCCGTGTCGCAGTAGGTGCTGGCACGAAAAAGATCCCTCACTGCTCAAAGGCCGTAAGTGCCGAGTATAGGACAAAATTTGCAGCTCTCCACCGGCAAGTGGTGGCGTCTCCATATGAGTGAAAAATTCTCGAGGGACGTACATTCAAGCAAACATTATTGTGGCGTAAAATGAGATTATGTATATAGAAAATTGCGAAATCAAAAGCTTTTAAATCTTGATTGCTAATATCATTTTACCATATGTGAGTTGTTATTTTCCCAAAATACTTTTGAATATAAATAGTAAAGGTCTATACCTCCAAGATTCTGCATAAATAAATGAAACTTATAAGGAGCGGGGCACCAAAAGGGAATGGAGGGGGGGGGGGCATTTCGGGAACATATGTAAAGGTCTCCATTACGAATAGAACTACGTATTGTTGTAAATAATTTATATTCTTTTAAGTGAAACAAACTAAAACATAATTAAACAAAAACAAACAAGCGTCTTCAAATAAAGTTACAAGCTCATTGTAAGTCTTGGGTGCATCAAATTGTCAATGAACTGGATCATACTTTTTAAATACAGATTTTTTTGCATAGTACAAACATATTCTGGTATGTTAGACACTTGATTGTATTTAATTACGTGTCACGAACGCCTGTACCAGGTGTCATAATCCAGTCTACAAAATGTACAATAGGTTGCTTTTCCATTGACGGGATTGTTGTATGTAGAGGTAATGATTTTGTTCATGACTGTGTCACGATCTCTTTAAATGACACTTTAACCTGGAAATCTTCAAATTAAGAACCTATGGAAGCGATGTACATTTTGCTCGAAACCAAAACTTGAAATCTGAATTTTATCATTTTCTAAGTACGTGTAATTACATGTATATATCCTTTTATAGTAATTGTAAACCATCTGTTTTATCGTTATCTCTGCGTACACAGAAACAACAAAAAGCATATAAATCATTGAGTACTTTTTCTCCATTGTAGATGAACGTACAACAGAAACCATTTTAAGTACCTTTGTAGCTGACCACACGAAACTGGCCGCTTCAGGTAAGGTAAGGTAATCTTGTTTCCATCATTTCGTAAGTTCTATGGTCGATACAATGACCTTGTCAGCAAATACAATTTATCATTGAGTCAAATGCTGACTGACGTTTTTCATACTAATTGTTAGGCCATTATTTACACACTGAATTGTGGACGGATTTTTCCTTTATTTCCCGATCATGACAAGGAGCACACGGCGGGTGTGACCGGTCGGCAGGGGATGCTCACTCCTCCATGGCACCTGATCCCACCTCTGATGTTTGGAGGTCCGTGTTTGCTCTGCTCCTATTTGTATTGTATAATAAACTTTTAAGCTTGAATACTGTTCGTTATCTCCTTAATTATATTTCATTCCATCTAAAACCTGAGTCATTACAATACCCCTGTGTCTGGCTCTTGCATTACTTTTAAAGGTGAAGCTGCTGACTTTTCGAGTGTAAACGATTTCCTTCAAGTTATCTTTATAGGAAATGCAACTCTTCTATTGATAGCTGTAATAATTACAGGTATGAACATTAATAATAATTAACTTTCTGTAAATGATTTAAACAATAGACTTTGAACAGGAAAATACTTACGAGCATCATCTACTTTAAGCCATTGATAATGTAATATCATTTCGTTTTTTTGTTTGAAAACTCTTAGATGTTTGTACTGATTTATTATAAATTATCTATTTCCCATTGGTAGGTATTGTATCCTTGCTGCTGATTCTGCTGTTATTATGCTTATCTGTTCGCCATCGTCGTCATCATCATCATCGTCGTCGTCTTACTTACGATGTAGAACTTCCTCATGTTACTCTAACTTTCCACTGTCCTCATAATGCGAGTGATAAATAATGACTTAATCGACCTAATGTCAAACCCCTAATGTAAAATTAAAACGATGGTATTTTACGAACATGTCCTTGTATATTTGGTTAACAGCAGGTTCTCACAACCTACTATATCGGATTCTAAAACTGTTCTGTTCCTTTTATTGTTTTCATTATACAATATGCTGTGTTAACTAAACAACCAATCCAGAATTTGAACTTGTGTTTTACCAGAGAGTGGTGGAGAGAAGAGGATACCTGAGCTTGCTGTCGTCAACATTCACACTTGTTCATTAGTAGTTCGCGTGGTCTCTATCTGGGACTCGGAAGAAATGATAAAATCTTCTATGTGTAAATTCATATAATATAGTCATAAAGAAAAGAGAGATCAAATATGTACTAATTTATCCCTATCTTATCTTGTCTCTTACTTTCGTTTAACTTGTGTACTTTACTGTCGAGATTTATTTGTTTGTTAAATATTCTGTAAATACTGAGCAGCGGACATTTTTGCCCTGATTATTTTGTGATGGTACGTGTTTTTCAAAAAATTTGATCAATTTAATTGTTTATACTAGTAAATGTTTTGTGTATATTCTGACTTTTATTTCTGTAAAGTCAATGTTTTCTTAGATTCCTACTTGTACAGGATGTATACTATATTGTCAATAAATGTTAAAATGCACGCCATAAAATATGCTAAACATTTATTGCGACATCAATATAGGTTAAATAGTACCCCGTGTTAAGGATTATATACAACCTCCTTGGCACACTAAAGATCGTTTATTTAGTTTCCGAAAAAGAGTAGGCTCATTGGGGGCCGAAACTCCAAAATTTCCAAAACCGTTCATACAATATAAATTTGTAACGCCGAAATATGGCTGAAATATTGCCGACAATCATACTAAGTATAATAAGTATAACTAATTTTGTTTAAAGTCATATATGGTGTATTTTTGATAGTTCATATAACCGAAATTAAAAATTCTTTCTATTTGATTTATTACTTTATATAAAGATAGGATTTTTCTGTAAACAACAATCAACCGCGTTTAAGATATCAAAATATTAAAACAATAACCGATTTATTTACCGACTCCACATTTAAATAAAAAAAAACACATTTAAAGTCAATTTAATTGTAGAAACGTGAGGTTATTCAAATTCAAAATCGGTGAAAATTTTTATTTGAACGTACATGTGTAAATAACATATGATTTATAAGTAAATCTCGTATTATCATTTTTTAGCTCAGATACGCCATATATTGCTTTAAAATTGATAGTATGATATCAATTCACTTATTTTGGTTCTAAATTAAGCATTGCATTGAATCTCTCAAAATGCTAAAACTAAAAAAGACACACTTTAAAAGTCACACTGGTATAAGACGAATTTTTAATCCAGCAAACATTATTATATATAACATATTTAAGGCACACCTTGATTGTTCCTTGTGACGTTTGTTCTGCTTTATGAACACAATCGACGTATCATTTCAGAGAGCCATTATGTTTTCCATCAAACACTTACTTTATACTACACATATGGCAATTTTGTTACATAATTGAATCATTTTATGACAGATTCATAAGTAAATAAATTCCAATGTTCTTTTTATGAGAGCAATTGAGTAACAAATTCTAAGCAAGATGTTATATTATTTTTTTAAATTATTGCTCTTAATAATGTAATCAGAGATTGATTGATCTGTATAATAAAATAATCCATTCAAGAGAAAATAACAATGCTACATGTATATGTGCGTGTATGACAGAAATAAACTGAAGTAATTAAGCAGACATCTAATCAGTATTTTCCTGGTTTCTTTTTGTTAAAAGCTGGGGTCTTTTTTTTATACAATTGAGTATATATATATATATATATATATATATATATATATATATATATATATATATATATATATATATATATATATATATCTCAATGATTGACAAATATTCTTTGATTTTTAAAACTTTTTTCTTGCCAGTTATAAATATCACTTTGTATCACATATTTTAATAAGAGTAGGTACTGATGCCAAACAGCAAGTTTATCAAGTATATTTGAATGTCTTTGATTTTATTCTAACGTAAATTTCCTAGTCTTAATATCATTCATCATCTTGTAGAAGAGTGTTTCCTGAAAATCCATAACCAACAAATTCACCATGCCCGTATATAAGAAGTCCAAAAGGTATATGATTCGTTGTCTGTATTGTAAGTTCACCTGGTATTACTTTCAATGTCAAAACCGTGAAGTTCCCACTTGCTGAAGTTATCGTACTTTCATACACTTTGTTCGATTGCGAAACTGAAGTTCCGTTTGTTAAGATGTCAGACACAGCGCTGGAATTAATTGTAATGGACACATAGTTGGTTTTGTAGTTGTATGGGATTGGCACCTTGTAATAATCAATAAACTGGTGAATGCCAGGAACAATGGTCATATAAGGATCTCCATTTGTAGTGGTTGTCGATGCGACACTTACACTTGTAACAAGAATAGGACCCTCGGATTGTATTAAACAGATCTGGTTGCTATAAATTGATACTTCTCGCGAACTTCCTGTGGTCAAAGTTAAGTTTGTTGTGATAGAATTCACAGTGTATGTAAGATTTGTGTCCTTTCCCGCCATAACCCGGACGACTGTAGTACGGTCTTCAGCATGTGATGGAACAATGAAAACATTATCAAGATTCAAAAAAGGCGGAACTTGTTCAACAAGATGATCACATGCCCCGCGTGACAAAAGTCGTGTGCATTCATCGCCGGAGAAAACAGCTATTGGTGCTGAAGAATTTACAAGAGTCCCTGTAAGATCTGTGGTGTGGCCTACTTGAAAGGTTTCGAACTTGTTCAAGCACAAACTGAAAATATCACCGTCTCTGTAAATGTTTCCGTCAATGTATAATGGTGTATCTACTGCCATTTTGAAACGCATTGTAATTTCTGTATTATTTTCCAACGAAGCAACCGCAATTTGACTTTTCTGCAAGTCTGGAGGCATTGTCACTACGATGTGATTAGTTCCGAGTTTGTGGACAGGAATAACAGCGGAAGAATCTGCAGTAAAACGTGCAAAATTCTCGAAAAAAACCGAAACATCATTAGAAGTTTCAAGAAAGATAGCTTTTTGTTCCACTTTGTTATGGATTAACTGAATTGCATTTGGTAAATTGACTTGATAAGGGGAACTCTCAACAGTTGAACGATCTATTGCCAATTTTAAGGATGGATCAATGAGGTCAGAAGTTGTAATATTCAATTCAAAATCGTTCTCAGCTGTAATATATATGGATTTCCTTTCGTTTTCTAAATTTGTAGTAAAAAGAATCACAAACTGTCTGCCCCTCACACCTAAAAATAACAAATTTAAGTAAATGAATGAAAGATAAATAAAATAAAAAACTTCACAGCATATATATATATATATATATGAATCAATTTTCTACTCTGACACCACTGATATTTGAATTATTTCTTTTTTATTAGGTACGTGATATATAAAAGACACCAAGCATCTCAAAAAATATACGCCTAATTTCTAATACATTGAACAAATTTATTATGCATATGTAGTAATTGTTTACTATCCCCATCCTGGGTAAAGTTTACTAAAATTAACCATTGTTAATTATAAAATTTACTTAAGGTGTCATTCCTGACATTCGTTATATCAAGGAATTTTTAGGATTATATTTTAGATAACTACTCATGTAGCATGACTCAAAATCGTAAAGGAAACTGGGAATCAGTGTCTATCTTACTGAGCAAGGGTACCATTAACTCGACCTTTCTGTACTTAAATTGTAATTAACCTAAGAGTTACAATTTAACCTTTTACCAGATATACATGTAATCACGGCAATAATTAGAATCTTATAATAAAATAGTTTGAATAATATTTATCATTGAACAAATCCTGCAAATAATGCGCATACATAATTGCGTGACCTTTCTGCACAAAAATGTATATGTATCATATTTGGGATATAAATAGAGGATATTCGATGTTTTTTAAGATTGGATATGGAATTTATTTCACGAGTGGGACAGGATTTATTTTTATAATTTCTTGAGTGCGAAGCACGAGTAAAAATATATTAAAAAAATCCTGTTTCATGAGTGAAATAAATTCCATATCAAACTACAAAACAATTATACTAAATAGGCAGTAAATTGTTTTCTTGTATAAAGCTTTTTATGTCTTAAGTGCTGGTAGGTTGAGATTATCGTGTAGTATAAAATAAAGGAAAAAAAGGTTTGGGCCAGTGAATTTATTTTCAAATATTTCTCAAAATGTACCATTTTGAGGAACAAACCGTGTAAATCTTATCTTGCCTTCAATATATGGTCATTTCATGGCAATGTCTGTTGAATGAATGTGTAAAATATCAATTGAAACGTTATTTAATATTTCAAGCATGATATATTACGAACAGTAATGAAGCTCAAAAGTCCAATGAAACAATACAAATCGAGAGCAGAGCAAACATGGACCTCTAAAGACAACACAGATGGGATCAGGTGCCTTGGAGGAGTAAGCATCCCATGTCGACTGGAATATATATATATATATGTTGAGTTTAGGACACATGAAGTTTCTTCTCGACATGTAAAAGTTTTTTAATGAAATCTGTTTATTAGGAATATAAAAACAGGCTAATAAAGGATTACAATTAGTGCCTATCAAAATTCCAACAGATTGTTTAATTTAAATCAAATTCATTGAAAAAAAAACCTTGGTTTCAAAGTTCATTATATGCAATTATTCCTTTTTTTTTTGTTAAAATCAACACGATGAATTAGACGCCTGAGAAGTACACTATTCACCGAGCCCCGAAGGGCGAGGTGTATATTGTATTTCGAAGATGGATAAATCATCGTATTGACCCCAAAACAGCAATAATTGTTTTATTATATGATTCAATGATAAAATGACTAACACTCATTTAGCAATCAATGCCATCTTACAAGTTTACATTTACTGAAGTACTAGCCAAGAATAATGGGAGAAACGGGTTTAAAAAACATAACAAATTGTATTATTTTGGAATTTTTTATTCTATTTAAGATGCAACGTAGAAAAAAATGTCAGGCAAATATATACGATTGATTTTGAAAAAGAGGGTACTATAAGGAATAAATTGACAACTTGCCTGAAAAAAATCTTTGTAAAGCCCCCCCCCCCCCCCCAAAGAAAAGAATTCTCCCAACTCAAAATTTTATTTGTGGGGAATTTAAGGTCCATAAACTAGGGCAGGGGCCTTTCATTGATAATTTTTATCCTTAAAGTTTAAATCAAAACGTTACGTTCTCAAAAGGTGGGAGAGGGTCAAGCTTCATGCAATCCCAAACCCACCCCTCACCCAAGAATCCATGTGCCTTAGTGTTATGTTCATATGAGTGGAAGTCAGGTGCAAGTGAAATAAATTTACGGAAATTTTTTTTTCAATTTGGAATTTCCGAATATATTTTTAGTCAACGGCCCTGAGTGCCCAGTAGTGGTCAAAATTTGTAACTCTCCACCGGCAAGTGGTGGCGTTTTCATATGAGTGAATAATTCTCGAAAGGGACGTTAAACAATAAATAAACATTCAAACATATATTAACCTTGAAGGTCACGTGCAGGTGAATTTTGTGTACAGATAGTATTTTTTCTACATTATTGGATCTCAGCCAACAGAGATAAAGAAATTATTCAATTACATAATAATGAGACTTATCTTTCCAGTTACCCATGACTCAAAACAGTGGTAGGACATCACATACACATCTTATTCATTATTGACAACTAAACTGAACAGACGTCAATAGCATAAAAATGTACACTAATTATCAACATTTCTGAACAAATTGAGATTTTTTTTAAAAATATGTAATGATAAAGACTTTTTTGGGTCACGTTCTCTCACGACCTTTGTCCCTTGTTTATGACTGGGTGTCGTTCTCAGCTCAATGCATAATTTTTCATTGACAAATCACCGTCACTAGATTGTTTGCAAGACTTTGTATATACATCCCAATATCGATCCCAGGCCAATAGTCAGAGAATGATTAAATCAATCAGGAAGTAAATGTATTTTTTCTCGATATACGTCACAGGTCACGGGCAGAAGAGGAACAATAAATTTGATTTACTATAAGACTTTAATTTTATACTTTTATTTTCGAAAACAAGAGCCTCAATATATCTGAAATCCCATACAAATGGTATAAATTTTGAAAATAACGTGATCATACAGACTTTTACAGGCATATGAACTTTGATACAAAATAAGATTAATATGTATGAATTGGAAAATATAAATTCTTTATGCTACCAAAGAGAAGCTACTTCAATTTTATCGGACATCTAAAGTTAATTCAGTCAATACATGTTATATTAGATTAAGAGTGATGTTAAGAAATTTTTGCCTGATTTGAGATTCTGATATCATAGACCTTAATCATAGAGAGTTTGAAGAAATTCTGAGAGTATGCGTGCAAGATGTCTTTCTTTCTATTGATACTTCATACTGCAGTCAAGCCCCAGAAGACATATACAGTGAAACCTGTCTAATCCAACATGTACTGGGAGACAGATTTTGTATCAGAATAGACAGGGTGTTCCATTGCACAGTATAAAGAATATATATAGAAAATTATTAAATGGGAATTAAAAAGGTCGGAATTCACAGTAAAACGGATTGCACAGGTGTCGGATTAGACTGTTTTCACTGTAGTACCTTATTTTTCATCATTCTTAAAGCACGGTACTGACCTGATGTTGGTATCGTTGTCGTGGAGGAGATTTGGGATTGACTTGTTGTTTCCAGATTTCCCTGTGGAATGGTTTGTTTATCATCTTTAAAAAAGTAAGAATTTTAATGCATTCATTTAATAGCTACCCAAGTTATACTGTTTCACCAAGGGTAAGCTTTATAGCAGGTTAGGTATTTTAGGGAAGCATTTCTCAGAAAATTATGATAATTATGTAAATAAATCGGTTATTAATTATAAACAAGCATTCTGAGAGTATTGCATTAGCAATACTAGTCCCCTACCGGCAAGTGTAATCTGGTTCCCGTTAAGAATTGAAAATGCCATAATTCCGTCAAAAATTAATGAAGCGGGACGAAATGCAAACTTGATCTATAACTAATCAAGGTAAAGCCACATACCAAAAATCAGCTCAATATCTACAAGCGTTTAGAAGAAAATTGCGGAAAACCCGTAAAAATTGAAAAGGCCGTAATTCCGTCAAAAATCAATGAAGCAGAACGAAATGCAAACTTGATCTTTAACTCATCAAGATACACTCACATACCAAAAATCAGCTCAATATCTACAAGTGTTTAGGAAAAAAGTGCGGAAAACCAAGTGGGACAGACTGACAGACAGACAGACAGACAGAGGGACAGACAGACAGACAGACAGACGGACGGACAGACTCAGAGGAAACCTATAGTCCCCTCCGGTTTCACCGGTAGGGGACTAATAATAAAAGAAGATGGAAAACGATATGTTCAGAAATAAATGGACTGTTCAATTCACACTAGATGCTAGAGAGAAGTTTGAAAAATATATATACGTAATATATAGTATACCTTTTAAGGTCAACACGAAAGAAACGCCAAGGGCAACACCAATTGATGCGAAGAGAAAAAATGTCATCAATAAAAATGGAAATCTTCGATTAGGTTGTTTTTCATTTTGATGATTTTCCTCGTATACATGGTTGTCTGTCCGTATGATGTACTTGCAAGATTAAAAAATAGCGTATATATATATATATATATATATATATATATATATATATATATATATATATATATATATATATATATATATATATATTTGTATTTCAAATGCTTTGGAAACCACTATCGATACATAACTTGACCTGTTATAAAATCCTTTCTTAAAGGATGACTGCTCTGTCTATAG